TCCTTAAGTAATCAAATGAATTTTTGTTGACGTTGAGGTTTTACTGTTATAAATGCAATGTTTTAAAACTTAGTTATTTTCCACAAACCTTTTAGTTAAATCGGTTACAAAAGACGATGACGTGGCAATCCGTGTTCACGAAACTCGGGGCGTTACACACTTAATTGCAACTTCCAAAATATGAAGATCGATCATGGCTGCAATCAGGGATGGAGCCATTTCAATGTCCTAATTAAACCATCAAGCTCTCACCCACAACCAAGTAGAACATTGAAACCTCGAAATTAATTAAGCACTGTTTGGTTTCACTAAAAAGTTAAGAGTAAAATTTTAATCAAGTCAATAATTAATTTTAATCATATATTTCGTAGAGACCCACGATTTTTTAACCTTACATTCCATTAACATTTATCAAAACCTAATTAAAATCTGATTTTTATCTAAATCAATCCGAATAGTGTGTATCTTTCAAGTGCAGGAAAGTTAAAACATCTCACGTCTTTATAAAAGAACAAAGAAAAGCTTGGCTGCAAAATGCTAAGAGATTGAATAAAGCTACTTCGACATTCATTTTTGACATTTTGATTGATATTCCGAACCATTGATTTAAATAAGTTTTATTAAAATAAATTGCCAAATTGCCGAGATGAGTTCAAACTAAAAGCAATAAACGATTGTACGTGTCTTAGTAATGTGTAATAAATTCACCACCTGGCAAAAGGGCCCAGCAAATCTTGGCCACCGCAACACCGCATGCATGTATACGTGGAATGGCAGAAGCCTCCCACGCCCACATATATAACACTAACCGATTCTTTCATCCAAGAAGTCGAACTACTGTTTTTCTATAATTTTAGTAAATCAGAGAGTTGATTTTCATGGCCACAATCAATGGAACAGGAGCTCAGGCAGGCGAGCAGATTCCGCCGGGGAAGCCAATGAGCATGGAGCAACACATGCTGGACAAAGGGGCTCAGATGCTGCAGTCTTTGATGCCCATAAAGCATATGAACCAGCACGTCTGCACTTTTGCCCTGTACAGCCATGACATGACTCGCCAGATAGAGACTCACCACTATGTAACCAGGGTCAACCAGGACTTCCTCCAGTGCGCTGTTTATGACACCGATGACTCCACTGGCCACCTCATTGGTTAATTAAAATATCAGTCATTTAATTTATTTTAATTCATCATTTGTCTTCGATATGCATTTCCCTTTTGAATTCCGATCAGTTCTGTGATTAGTTCTGTTTGAACTTAATGTAGGGGTGGAGTATATTGTATCCGATCGCATATTTGAAACTCTGCCACCTGATGAGCAAAAACTCTGGCATACTCATGCTTACGAGGCATGTACACCTTCTACTTTATCCAATAATAAAGAATCAAGCAAAAAAAGGTAATATAATTTTATATGATTGCTGCTTAAATGATGCCTGATGCAGATTAAATCAAGTCTTTGGGTGAATCCGCGGGTTCCAGAAATGGTTGTGAGGCCTGAACTTGAAAATCTTGCCAAGACATACGGAAAATTTTGGTGCACTTGGCAGACTGATAGAGGTTGGTATACAATCATGCCGTTTATACGTAATACTGTACTGAAAGTACTGGACAGTATAATAAACAGATCATCGTTATGTTCTGCAGGTGATAAGCTTCCCATGGGTCCGCCGGCACTGATGATGTCTCCACAGGGAGCGGGAATAGGCGTGGTGAATCCGGTTCTAGTCCAGAAGAGGGATAACAAGTACAATATATCAAGCGATGCACTCAAATCTGCAAGAGTGGAAATAGCAGAACCGGAGTGGCTTAACCCTCAAGCAGACTACTGGAAGCAGCACCATGACAAGGGTTTCGCCGTCGAAGTGGAAACGACAGAGATGAAAAAAAGGGCATCATTCCCTTGAGGAGAACGGTACAAGCCTGACAGTACTACCAGGAATAAATGATGTTTTCGCGCATCTTTTATGGAGGATGGACGAGATCTTAGATGAAATATTTTGGGGGTGTGGGTAAGCAGAATGCACTTGTTGTTAGTGCCTTATATTTTATGAAAGTGCTGTGTGTCTCGTAAATTTTGAGGTAGCGGTATACTTGGTACGAGGTATGGGTCTATTGTAGTTTGTATGGGTACACATATACTCACAAATGTCTCTACATGTAAGGGAGTTGCGTATGTACGTCTTTTCGACAAGTTTAGCTTTTTTTAGTTTTGCAGTGTTGGGGGTGTTATGTTCCATTTGGATTGATATGAAGATTTTGATAGGCACGGGTGCTTTTGAAACATTGGATTCCTTTTCTTTTTGTTTTAAAATATAGAAGATTTTGTTCAATTTCAATAAATTAGTTTACAGCCATATTAAAATTTTGCTAATAGTTCAAGGGATTCTAAGGCCCTCTTTGATGGGCAAAGAATTCCATGGAATTGGAAATTATTGTTTGATGGGAAAAAATGGATGGCAATTGATTTTCTTGGGAGGTTGTCCACACGCCAATTTTCCTTAGAATGAGGGAAAAGGTGGGAAAGCCTTTTCCTCCATTAATTTTTATTTTATTATTATTTTTGGCAATGGAAATAAATTTCATAACCAAGTGTAAAAAANGGACAGTATAATAAACAGATCATCGATATGTTCTGCAGGTGATAAGCTTCCCATGGGTCCGCCGGCACTGATGATGTCTCCACAGGGAGCGGGAATAGGCGTGGTGAATCCGGTTCTAGTCCAGAAGAGGGATGACAAGTACAATATATCAAGTGATGCACTCAAATCTGCAAGAGTGGAAATAGCAGAACCGGAGTGGCTTAACCCTCAAGCAGACTACTGGAAGCAGCACCATGACAAGGGTTTCGCCGTCGAAGTGGAGACGACAGAGATGAAAAAAAGGGCATCATTCCCTTGAGGAGAACGGTACAAGCCTGACAGTACTACCAGGAATAAATGATGTTTTCGCGCATCTTTTATGGAGGATGGACGAGATCTTAGATGAAATATTTTTGGGGTGTGGGTAAGCAGAATGCACTTGTTGTTAGTGCCTTATATTTTATGCAAGTGTTGTGTGTCTCGTAAATTTTGAGGTAGCCGTATACATGGTACGAGGTATGGGTCTATTGTAGTTTGTATGGGTACATATACTCACAAATGTCTTTTGGACGAGTTTAGCTTTTTTTTAGTTTTGCAGTGTTGGGGGTGTTATGTTCCATTTGGATTGATATGAAGATTTTGATAGGCACGGGTGCGTTTGAAACGTTGGATTCCTTTTCTTTTTGTTTTAAAATATAGAAGATTTCGTTCAATTTCAATAGATTTCAATAAATTAGTTTACAGCCATATTATAATTTTGCTAATAGTTCAAGGGATTCTAATGCCCTCTTTGATGGGCAAAGAATTCCATGGAATTGGAAATTTAAATTCCATTTTCAATCAAAATCATTGTTCGATGGGCGAAAAATGGATGGCTATTGATTTTCTTGGGAGGTTGTCCACACGCCAATTTTCCTTAGAATGAGGGAAAAGGTGGGAAAGCCTTTTCCAGGTCTGAAGTCCATTAATTTTTTTTAATTATTTTTTTTTATTTTTGCAATGGAAATAAATTTCATAATCAAGTGTAAAAAAAATTCACTTTCATCGACAATTTTAATACAAACGAAGGCCAAACGAATACTAAACTTTGATGAAAAAAATGATTTTTTAGGAAATTTTTTTCTTTTTTCATTTTTTTTTTACTTTTTGACAATGGAAACAAATTTAAAATCAAATGTAGAAATAATTTACTTTAATGGACAATTTTCATATAAAACAAAGCCAAACGAACATAAAATTTAAAAATTTTTCGGGTGGAAAATTATAAAAATCACACATACTTAATTAACAATTTCCTACAAAACATTTTTTAGGTAATTATTTTCCCTGAAATTCATTTTCTTTCCACCTATTTTTCATCATTCCAATCAAACGGACCCTAATATTTTTAAGTGTAAAAATTACTATTTTGTTTGCATAGAAGAAGTTGGAAGCGAATTATAATTACCAGATCATTTTGGATTAAGCTTGTCATTACTAGAGCTTGTGAGGCTAGGCTTGGAATTTATTTTACGAAATGCTCTCAAGGACGCGAAATACAAAAGAGGAGTGATGC